TGTTCGGCGAGTATCGGCTAACACCGGCCGATATAAGAGAAGCACCTCTTGGCGACGTTGACAACTACATTAAATCTGTAGGCTGGCTCACGAGCTAGGAGGTGCATATCATCTAAGGAGGATGCACAATGGGCCTAATGATGCCTAAGTGCCGTGGGGGTAACCCACCCTGCACACGTTACAGATACAGAAGGCTCTTCCATTTTTCTCGATATCTATGTTTTTTCAATTAGTTGATTCAGGGAGAATGTAATTTCTTGAACTTCTCCGTCTTTCTTAAATCCACTTTGTGATTTTCCGGGTTAAATTAATTTCAGTCTTTAGTTTAGTTTTAATTTTTCCACTTTCCAGTCTTCAGGTATTACTTGTTCATTCCAGACCTTGTTAAATATTACAAGAAAATGCAAAATAAAAATAATGAATTATAAAATGTCGGAACAAAATAAATTTCATTAATTTGAGACGAAAACATAAAATCTTCTTTACAAGAATCAAAATTAAATTGGGAGCAAGTAAGAAATTCTACTCATGTGCACTAGCGGTTATAATATTGGTACGAAAATCCAACCAATTACCACCGGCAATATTAAATTACATGAAAAGTAGTTTTTTATTTGTGCGATATATTTCTAGTTTGATATATGCATGATAATATTTCGTTTCGAGTATATTCATTTCGATAGATTGTACTTTATCCTTATTCTCTAATAACGATTTGATTTTATATTTTCAGCACTTTTCTATCAGAACAAAAGATAAGAACTTCGGTGAAATCGAATCAAAATATCGACATCGCATCAACTTCTCTGTCAGCAGTAAGTATAAGGTTATTGGACGCATAAAACAAAAAACCTTCATTGGAGCCAGCATGCGGTTTCCGAAAACACTGTGGAAAAGCCGTAACTTTTTATTACCGTTGACACACCGAGCCCTGTAGAAAGAAAATGTCATAATGAAACAAAGAAACGCTAAGTTATGTTCTAAAGCAAATGGACTGCGTGGTGACGTTCCCGATAGGAAACACAGCGGCGCGCTGTCTAGCTGGAAAACCGGACTGGGTCATGCCCTTGGAGTCTAGTTGCGGTTACACATCAAGCTCGCGACCAAACAAACGACTGAGGTTCATGTGCTCTTGTGATGGCCGATAAAACTGGAAACATACTTTGGGGAATATGCTTTTGTGTTAGTTTCGCTTTAATATTACACATTCTATTTTGAATTACTACTTATGGCCTCTTTAAGGCAAAAATGCTTTTGTGGGGTCTATTTTTCAATAATATTGTAACAGAAAAAATAAATAAAATTACCATTTGATAGGTTGAAGTCAGTAATTTTCAAAAGTATATGTATCCATTTTGTTAAGAGCTTGTAATTCTGTTTTACATTTTGTTATAAAAGTGGAAGAAATTCTTTACTTTTGGCCATCAGTCCGCCACTACTTCTTTGCTTATGGCCACTAATTTGTAAGTTACATTTTTAAATATTATTTTAGTGCATGTTTATATTTTAATTTACATGTATGTACTTACTAATGATTTAGAATAGGTTACAAAAAATTTAAATTTTTTATAAAATATGAAATTTATTTTTCATGAACATTACACTTAAAATGCTATAACCAATTTTCAATCTTGTTCTACTAAAAATGCTCGGTTAATAATGATTTAAAGTAATCCAGCGGTACCTAAATAATTTTTTTTGTGCTTTTCAAGCACTGGATTTATATGGTCAATCGACATAATGACATAATAAATATCCATAAAGGTTTAAAGTAATTTTAACGTTTCTAAGTAGTGTGAAAATTCGAAAAATACAATTTGGAAAGGGCATCTTGACTTGAAAAAAATGACGGCATAAATACACAATAAAGATCCATACTAGTTTAGAATTAAGTTTTGACGTTTGATCACCCCCTAAAATAATTTTAATGTGCCCAACCAAGTAGTGTGAAAATTCAAAAATAAAATTTGGAAATCGAATTTCCACTTGGAAAAAATGGTCAAAGGATATAAAATTACAATAAAGATATATAATAATTTAGAAATATGTTTTGACGTTTGACCACTCCCTAAAATAATTTTAATTTTCCCAAGTATTGTGAAAATTTGAAAAATAAAATTTGGAAATCGAATTTAGGGTGAGAAGGAAAGTTCAAATGACATAAGTTTACAATAAAGATTAATACCGATTTAGAATTATGTTTTGACGTTTGACCACCCCCTAAAATAACTTTAATGTGCCCAAGTAATATGAAAATTGGAAAAATAAAATTTGGAAATCTAATTTCCACTTGGAAAAAATGGTCAAAGGACATTAAGTTTACAATAAAGATCCATAACGATTTAGAAACATGTTTTGACGTTTGAACACCCGCTAAAATAATTTTAATGTTCCCAAGTAATATGAAAATTCGAAAAATAAAATTTGGAAATCGAAATTCGGCTTGGAAAAAATAGTCAAACGACATAAATGCATAATAAGTCCCCGTAATGGTTTAAAATTATGTTTTGATGTTTGATCACCCCCTAAAATAGTTTTAATGTTTCTAAGTAGTGTGAAAATTCGAAAAATAAAACTTGGAAATGGAATTTTCACTTGAAAAAAATGGCCAAACAACATAAGTTTACTATAAAGATCCATAACAATTTAGAATTATGTTTTGACGTTTGACCACCCCCTACTAAAATAATTTTAATGTGCACAAGTAGTGTGACAATTTGAAAAATAAAATTTGGAAATCGAATTTCGGCTTAGAAAGAAATTTCAAACGACATAAGTTGGCAATAAAGATCCATAATGATTAAGAATTATGTTTTGACGTTGGACCACCCCCTAAAATAATTTTAATGTTCCCAAGTATTGTGAAAATTCGAAAAATAAAATTTGGAAATCGAATTTCCACTTGGAAAAAATGGTCAAACGACATAAGTTTACAAAAAAGATCTATAACGATTTAGAATTGTTTTGTCGTTTGTCCACCCCCTATAAAATAATTTTAATGTTACCAAATAATGTGAAAATTCGAAAAATAAAATTTGGAAATCGAATTTCGGCTTAGAAAGAAATTTCAAACGACATAAGTTGGAAGTGAAGATCCATAATGATTAAGAATTATGTTTTGACGTTGGACCACCACCTAAAATAATTTTAATGTTCCCAAGTATTGTGAAAATTCGAAAAATAAAATTTGGAAATCGAATTTCCACTTGGAAAAAATGGTCAAACGACATAAGTTTACAAAAAAGATCTATAACGATTTAGAATTGTTTTGTCGTTTGTCCATCCCCTAAAATAATTTTAATGCTACCAAATAATGTGAAAATTCGAAAAATTAAATTTGTAAACATCTAGAAAGTCAAAAACGAACGAACATCTTTGATACCCTGATAAGTCGACTTTTGGCTATCACATATATTTTAATAATCATTTTTTTTACTACTGAGATTTCTACAATCCTTTACAATATTTGCAATTTCAAATTAAATCGTCTAGAAGATTGGGAGATTCACAGAGAATTTGACAAACAAAATTCTACCATGTCACACGCAGTCAGTTAGTGTCTACCAATTTAAAAAAAAAATAAAAATAATATCCTATTTCTGAAAGAATATAGCATTTAAAAATTGATAGTTTAAAAAAATATGTTTTATAAAATTCTGGAGAAGCTATACCTAAGTTGAATTTGGATCAGTATATCTCTATGGCGTGTACGATTTAAAAAAAAAAACAATTTTTTACTCATATTGTACACGATTTAATAACTAAATGATATAATTAATTTACAATTAGATTGCGCATACGTGCCAACACGAATTTGACAAATTTCATTTGTGCAATGTCGTGACAGTTTTGGTGCGCTAATGAGACGTGGCGGTCCAGCATAGCTGAATGCTATTGCTTGCGGTTAGCAAATGATTCAACCAGCTGCTGTTGGCTATTGTCCTGCGTCCTGAAAATATTCTTGTCTATACTCCTGTTGCTTACAATGTTAAATATTAATTACAACCATTAATATTATTTGCAATTCTCGGTCATGCGCTTCTTGAACGTCAATTTTTTAAATTATATTTTATGAGGAGGTTGGATAAAGTTAATTCATCTTGGGACCGATCCAGGCGTTTAAATACTGCTATAGATATTTTAAAATAAATAAGCCAAAAAAACTTAAAATGCTTCAATGGCTGCCGTACGAATTTGAAAGTATTTTTAAGCTATTGCATAGCTTTATCGCGGGCTTTGAGCACGGCGATCGAATCAAGAAATTCCGTAACGACCCCCACTTCGACCGGCACAGCGGTGCGGCGTTAAACAATATTAACTTCTCATTTATTCAATAAAAGAAAATAAAAAAAAAAAGAAAAATCAAAAAATCAAAAAAACGAAAAACCGAAAAATCGAAAAATCGAAAAATCGAAAAATCGAAAAATCGAAAAATCGAAAAATCGAAAAATCGAAAAATCAAAAAATCGAAAAACTGCTTTGCAATAGCTTTACCGCTGCAGTCCCCGAGTGCCACACGTATTTTTTTTTAATTATTGATGGCCAAACGTGGACAAACTAAATGCTATTGTTCTATGGAATTAAACTATCAAAATGTTTACTTTGGTTTGGAAGTTGGCACGCGAAAATTCTTTTTGATATATTTTGAAAACAGAGGGTGAGCAATAAAAGTTATTTTATCAATATCAATCCTCTCACAAATTTTTGTATAATTCTTGCAATATTGTGGTGCCAAGTTCACGGACTTTGAAAAATCAGTTAAAAGTAAAGAGTTCCAGACTTTTTTGATCACTGAATCCAATAGATTAAATATTATTTTTTTAACGAATTCCTATCTACATCCCTTTACTAGTTCTTATTGAATATTAATATTGCAAACTGATAGATAAATCTTTCATCTACTACTACTATTTTCTTACCTGGCTAGGAAAAATGAGTTAATATTAAAAGTCAATGTTAAATAGATAATAAAACAAAAACAAAGAATATATTTGTGTATTGTATAAAATAATATGCGTGACATAATAATGATAATAGTAATAAAATAAAATACAAATATAAATAATAATTAGGATTGGATTTAGTGAAATGATAAATACATACTTTTCAAGAGTATACGGATTAATATCGTTCGTGTATTTTTTATTTACTTTTACATATTATTCATGATGGAGCATTTTTTTACATATTTAAAAATTAATTGTGTGCCAAAATTAAGCATGAAATTATCATTATAAACTCGGTCAATGTCAAAAGTAATATTTTTGGCTGCTTATAAGTATAATTTTACAAATATTAAATATACACAAATAGCATCATTTTAAGAAGAGGAAGAGGATGAAGACTTAAACAGCATACCAAGAAATCCAGCTGCAGGTCCTAGAGTTCCATTCGTTGCTTTAGGAAGCAGGGTATACTTTAAAGGAATTTGTTTTTCAATTCCTAAGAAAGTCAGTACTCTTTGAGCAAAACTTTGACAGTTGTTGGTCAATGCATTATAGTTCGAAACTGTAAATTCTCTTCTCAAAACACGAATAAATTTGAGAAGCTTCTCCTTAGTTTTATTGGTACGACCCATATTTTCAGTGTCGTGTGGTTCTGCATTGTTACTTGTGACAGTAACACCATCACTTCCATTGTAAGAAAATTCACGATCAAACACAAAAACACTCAAATGCCAAGCTGTTATCGGCGTTGGTGGAGCTACCTTATCAACTAAATTGTAGGCATAGAGCACCACTGTGTCTGGCATATTTCTTATTTCTTACACTCACTAAACAAATCAGTTAATATTTCATATTTGCCAATTTATATACTATCCTTATAGAGAGAGATACTGATATCTATATATCTATAAAATGATAAATATGAAAACAATGACCGTTAGTCATAAACATTTATTTAAATAGGATAACACGTATTACTCTCGGTCAGAGATAATTTTTATCCTACTAAAATAGTTATCAATATTAGTTGGTTTATTTACCATCCAGCTAGTTTACAAACTTAAAAAAATTTCTAGTTAATATCATTTTTGGTTTTTGAGTTTTTTTAATATTTTAACCCTCCTTAATTCCCCAATTTATTCAGATTTTTTTTTTAATATTTACACGATATAGAGTAAAATATGTACATAATTTACATTAGTCACATTTATGTAGCAGAAAGATGAATTTATCCAGTTCGCTTTTGTAATAACTTTCGTTATTTTGCAATAAAATGTTGTTAATTTCAAAACACAAGAAATTTTGACTATCTTATACAAATTTAACACCAAACATTACTTACCTTTAATCAAATTAAAAAAAGAAATGAGCACATTGACCATATAGTTTTCTCAGTCGTGAATTCGGCTTTTTTAATACACTTTTGAGGAAAATAATTATCTGGGAGAGAGGGGCGCCATTAATTGTTGTTTTTGAATTTTTAGAAAGCTACTTTATCAAAAGGAAATAAATTAAAATTTATATGTAATTTAGAAAAAAGCGGTATTTGCCCAATAATCCTTTAATCTTTTATATTTTTTCACCGCAATAAACCTTCTTCTATTGTTTAGTTTCCCTGGGGTTGGATGCATCTTCATAGCGGCTATAACTGCCTCCGTGGCGACGCTAATATTTTCCTAGTAAGCACTGGGAATGTTAGCAAAGTCTACAAATGTGTGGTTGGCTTCTTGAGTGATCTCCTGTTGATTTGATTTCATCGCTAGTTCCATTCTCTTTTGAACTTGGCTACAACGTACTGATGAAGACCAATAGTCAGAAACACGTGTCTACGGTTTGCCTTCACACTGGCACAGAACGTGGATTGATGTTTTCTTTTCTTCTTCACAGAACCTGCACAATGTTGCTTCTTCTACTAGACAAATGACACTCATATGCCTGTTTAGGGGACAGTGTTCGGTAAGGAGACCTAATTTTATCCCAACGATTTGACTTTTTTGATTCAGTAGGTCTTTTGTGAACTCGCCGATAGTTACTTGATGAACTATTTAGCATGTCTCACGGGTTTCTGTATGAAAAATTTCAGCTTTTGGCAGCTGTTATTTTATTTAGTATCGAGATATTATCTACTTTCCACATTTACTATTAGTTCAACCGGAATTGATAGAATCATAACTGGGCAGATAAAAATAAAGAAAATAATAATGTATAATTTTGAATCAAAAATGTTTTCATGATTGTCGATAAATACAATTTTTAATACTTATATGAAAAATCCTTTAAACATAAAACAACGCGATAATTTTTTTCCGCCTGTCAAAATTTTTCGATTTTGTAATTTCAACCAATAAAATCTCGTGATCCTAGCCAATCAATCAGTATTATACTGATTAAACAAGCTATTCGCCATTGTTTATTGACTAAAGTGTATTTACAACTGTCAACCCGCCCTTTGTTACCTTGATTTATCATCAAATATGCTAAAATGTACTGCATACAGTGTAGCCCCTAGAAATCTGTAGTCAGATAATGGTGTTGCCTCATATTCATTGTTGGAATAATATTAATGTTCCAAAGCTGCTACCTACCTAATACAACAGTTTCTGCTTATCGTATGCATCCCTGACCTTATAATAAAAAGGATACTTCAACATTATTTTTTTACATAATCTCTCTTAATCCTAATGTATTTATCCCAGGGATGCTCTAATCATTTCAAGAGGACCACGGAAGAAATGATTGTTACGCAAATGTTCTTTTAGTTTTGAAAATATTGTGTAGTCGCTATGAACCAGATCTGGTGAATAAAATATGTTCTACCAATTGAAACTCCGACTGGAAGCATTGTCTGATGAACCTACACACCTTTTCGCAATTTTCACGTTTTTCTTTTAACGCATCACGCAATTTAGAAATGAATTCTGCATAATAAATATCTATACTAGTAGCTGTCTTTTGTAGATATTTAACCAAAAAAGTGGGAACATCACATTTCCAGCTGATGGATTGAATATTCGAGTTGGGGAGACTTCATCGGTTTCTCTTTACTTGGCAATTCTTTGAACTCTTCATATTTACTGAATTTTATATATACTTATTTTGGTAAATTTTGATGAGAAAATGATGCCAAATTTACTCACCTAACCAACCGCAAAGTTTTAAAATTGGTAAGTATTTTGTATCAATAGGACAAAACTAGAGATAGGATTTTTAAAGTAATTTGGATATGGGGGCCTGAGGTATCAGGTCATTTTGGAAAAGGGTTTTCTTGCCTAAAATAGTTTAGGAATTCCTGATTCCTAGTAACAAACCTGTCAAGGACATTTTCTTTGTTATGCTGATACATTTTAAGAAGACGCTTGCAAATGAGTACTAAATTTTGATTTTAATAATCAGTTAACATTTGTGAGACCAATCTTGTGCTTAACTTTCTTAAATTTCCTAATTTTTGTTTATTTAAAGCTTAGTTTAAAAATGCTAATTCTTTTTTTATAAAATAATTTTGAGGAAGTTTAAAAAGTTGATCGGATTCCAAAAATTAATATCGGCTGTTTTCTAGCTGTGACCACTACATAGTTCTATATCTGCTAGCTAAATTCATTTAAATTAATCATTAAAACATATTTCGTTGACTTTATTAACAAAAATTTTTGTTATTATCAAATAAAATTTGATTTACAATATTAAAACATCCTTTTGTAGAGTCTACTGTATAAAAAGATATTTTAAAATCCCCTGTGATTTGTTGTTGTCCAGCTTTCCGAAACTTTTATCTTTTTATTAAAATTTAACATTAAATCCTCAATATTTTCTATAATATGGGCTTTTTCACATGACTCACTTAATTGGTTAACACGAAACACGTTCAAAATGTTTTTCTTTTCTCTCCTCTGAATTTTTTCTTGGCATGGATACAGATTTTGAGAGGTATTTTAGCAAATTTGAAAAATACAGGGAGATGCACTAGGTTTTAATTTCAACCTAACAAAAATTTTAGTCAACCTACCATCTAGTTTAAAATAATGATATTCTGGTAAAATGTAACTCTCTGGAAAATGCAAAAAACAAACCGCTGTTGTTTTTGAATACAGTTTTACCATTTTTTCTTTAAATTATTATCTTTAGGAAAAGTAAAAACTGATACACCCTTATCGTCAGTTCTAAGTGCTTCTATAGTTGGATTTACAACCAGGACAATACATTTCTATGCAGTTTAGAAATAAAATATTTAAAATATTTAATTTTGCAATGAAAACACCAATTTACTATTTAAGTATTTACTTGTGTCGTGGGTAAGGCCAGAGTTAAAGTTTTAATAAATCTGATTTTTATATGACATATTTGGATCATAGAAAGAAATAATAGTACCCCTCGCATCTTTGCCAATTTTCAGTCTTCGTGACTAAATAGATTAAAGACTAGTGTGTGACTATATATGTGTTGATCGTTGTCCGGATTTCGTGGGACGTTTTATAGTCGCATTTTGTCAAAAACCCATAGTCTCTGTTTTTCTTCTCTTCATCCTGGCGATGGAGTGTTATCTTTATCGATTAATAAAACAGACGAGAACAGAATTAAACGTAGTCATCATCTTTAGAAGCCAGTGGTGTTCAAAATAGAAATTTCCTTCAGTGTGACTTCAATTAACGTCCTCTGGAGACCTTTCAGTAACATGGCTCCTATCTAAACGAGACTGAACTCCTGACTTTCCCACAGCACTAAGGATCAACCCATCAACACTCTGCACCATCTTATCAGTACTATTAATCCAGTAACTTAATCTTAACACAGGACAAGCTAACTTGTATGGACGTTTTATGTAAAGCTTATTTAAATCGTCTGAATTTTTATGGTATTTTCTTTTCAAGTTTGATTCAAAATAAGTTTTTATATTTTCTTTTGTTGTTAAAAACCATCAGTTTATTTTTCTCTCTAACGATTCAATAATCATTTTTTTATTATTGCAAATGTTTTTTTAAACATGTTTTACTTTCGTATAATTATCAAATTTGAACTTTACCGTTTATCATATCTTGTTGTACATCTTTAGTAATTCAGTTTTGTTCCTGGTTTTGTATTTTTTTTTTTTACTGAAACAGTATATGTTTTGAAAATAGTCAAATTAAGATCCCCCATAAAAATATTCAAAGAAATAAAACTGCGAATTCGCCCCTGTGCATAATTAATTTTCTTTACGTAAGAATGTAAGATTATAGGCAATCAATTTGTTTCAAGATTTTGATGAGTTCACAAAAGGTATTTCAAGTTACCTACTATTTCTAGTAATTTCAAAGCAACATGGTTTATACGAAATGCAAATTCAAATACAAGGATCAACTTTCATAAGTACTAAAAATGTATCGATATAATTTTGCGTGTTGCATGAACTTCTATAATTGTTATGAAGTGCCGCTACTGCTAATTTCTTTAAGATAGACATTTCTTATATACCTCGACAACTAACAAATTTAGATTTACATCACCATTTTCTTGGCAATCTTGTCAAGACTAAATTGGTAACCATATACTGATAAAGACTTTTATAGGAAAACAACGTCTGATTTATTTAAAAGTTACGCGCTAACTCAGGCTTCAAGTTTCTCGAGCACGCCCGGGATTTGATTAAATCAAGAAGTTTCGAATACAGTTTTCATGTTGATTACTTGAACCGCCCTCGCTAAAGTATATACAAAAATTATTAAATTACACCATCAGTTTCATAAACACTAATTATACAAATGTAGTTTTTGGTTTCAAATTAAACAGTGGTTGCCACAAATAACAGTTGTGTATACTCTATATTTTATTACTTATTTTTTTCGGATATAGTATATTTTACTCCTGACT